TCATGTCACCCTCTTTTCCTGGATAACTGAGCTCCAGCCACGACCTCCGGGTGTCCCCCAAGCTTGCCCAGCTTGCAGTAGGACCTTCTAATCTAACAGCTGTAACCTTGCTGGCCCGTGCCTCCCACCAAGAAAGCTAAGGTGATCAGAACGCATTGCATGGCTCAGCCGTGAATATTTTCAGAACCACAATGGTACAAACAGAAAGCTAATGATTTAGCAAGGTAATGATTTAACAGTATCAAGGAGTTGGAAGAAAAGAATGGGTGTATATGAGGTAAGAAGAGAAGTGGGAGGGAGGGAGAGGGAGAGAGTGGGGGGGAGGACAGAATTCTCATTTTTTCCTAGAAGGAATTTAATAAGCATAGAAACAAAAAGAACTGGCAGTCAAACTTTCTCTGGTTAAGGTGGTGAGCTGCCAAGAACCAGCTGAAAACGTTGCTTCTGAGGACAGGGAGCCAGGGAGGATGAGGAAGGGAAAGGAACAGTGAGGAACCAAGCTTCTAGAAGCCTCGCTCTCCTGTGTGGCTTTGAAAACCAGTGATATGTATATAGAATAAAAGTACAGAGAAATAAAAGTGAAAATTTCTGAAAGGAGTGCAAAATAGTGATGGAAAAAAGGAGCCAGTCCTTGTGGCAACTGCAAATACCAAGGACGGTTAGGTAGGAAGGTCCACAGGGGTGGGGTGGGGGGGGTTTTCTGTTAAGCTGAAGTGTTTGTCCCTCCTCCCTCACTGCGGGTGGGAGGTCAGTTTTAACCCTCATAGAAGAGTGTGAAGAACCCACAGGCAACAGCCAGGACCTCACACAGCACCCTCTCTCTGGCCACACGGCAGGACTGGGACTTTGAGAGTTTGAAACTGTGGGTGCCCGTTTGGCATCTGAGACTGGGTGAGTCTGGCCCCTTTTCTGCCCCACATTCCCTCACTTGATTGTATTCTTTGATCGTATGTGTCTTTCTAGTAGATTTTCACCTTCAAAAACCAGGCTTCAGTGTTCATCTTTGGGCGCTTCTTCATGCACTCTGCCCACCCCTGCTCCTGCTGCGGGGACGTAGAACACAGTGGATTCTGCCTGGAGGCGGGGTTAGGTGAACACCTGAGATTGTGTCTGCCCTGTGCTGCGCAGACTGGGATGGAATGGAGGGAAAGGCAGTCCTCTGGTCAGACTGGCAGGCTTCACTATCACCATCTGCTGCCCTTCCTTTCCCAGTACGCCATATCATTCTTGGAATATAGGCCAGGAAGGGAGCTGGAGCCAGGACAAAATTCAACATATGGCAATTCAAGGAGTGTAAGGACAGAAACTACAGTGAGGACTCACCAAAGTTACATGAAAACTATGCGTACACTACACGCAGACAACATTGTAATACATGCCTAAAGAACTTTTTAAGGAAAAAAACTGGAACCCACTTACAGGAGGTGGCAGTTTTGCCAGATTGCTGCTTCTGAGGAAAAGTGGCCTCCTGTGCTGAGGTATGTGGGATGCAGCGTACATTTAAATGAGCCACTTTTGACCTACCAAGAGGCCCTAGAAAGAGTTTCTTAAAAGTATTATAGATCATAAAACAAGTAAAAGATCCTAATTTTGTGTTCTTGACGACTTCTTGTCTTACAGGAAAATTTCTACTAAGAAGAAATTGATTAAAAACCTACAGATGTTATTTGGGGTGGGGTTTTGTTTAAGACTTAAGGAAAAATCAAGATCCGGAGAAAGTGTAACATTTGAGAACACCATCTGAGATACCATTTCAACTTCCTTCCAAAAGGTAGGGCAGGTCATTAGGAGAAACTACGAGTTTATTGGAATAAAACCAAAGAAGTGGTAATGACTACAAAGTGATTTCAGTGTGAAGCCAGAATTACTCGCATGTCCTGAGCAAATGAGAGCAATGACAAGAGTAATTCCAGTCATAAGAAGATGGGAGAAAATTCCCCAAGTGTTCTGTTGCTTCCCCCACCCCCCTTAACAAGGTAGAGCACTGTTCTGATTCAGAATAAAATGAAGGGACTAATAAAGCAAAGAACAATAAATGCAGTGCTTGTTTATGGGTACTTAAATTTAAGGCAGGGGACAGCGTGGCTCACTTTACCACCCAGCCTACATCATGCAACGAGGCCTCAGGGATCATCTGAGCATTTTAATGCTCAACCTCAGTTTTCAGTGTGGGAGGAGAAAATCTGCAGAGGATCCATTCTGGCTTCTGACACTTGAGTGGGCCTACAGTGCTTCTTCGTGGTGGCTCAGACCCTCAAGGTCAGCACAGCTACCCTCACACCCAAGCCAGGTGTTGCAGGTCCACCCAGGTGCTTCACGAATGAGTGATGTGGTGAATCAGGTGGGTGAGATGGGCTATGGAAGCTACCTCCTATCAGCAGCCTGAGCATCACTTACTAGGTACAGCTCCTACTTTCAGTGACTGATCAGAGCCAAACTAAGTCTGAACTTTGTTCCAGTTTTGGTATTGGGTGGGGTGATTAGATACAAATCTCCTAGAACCATCTTTCAAATACACAGCAGTAAGAATCAGCTTGTGACAAACCAATGACAATAATGAAAGCAAAGTTTGCCTAGATTCTTTTGTGCAAAATGTAAGTTAGGGAGATGAATTGAAAGAAAAAATGATATTCAATAGCAAGAAGTGAGAAAAGCATACTTTCTACCTGTACCTTATCTTTTCCTCCAATTGTTGAGTTTTCCACTTTAAAAAGTACTTTTGCTGTACTCCCAATTATTTTGCAACCATCAACTCATTTACAAGGAAAACAGTTCTTACATGGAAGGCCTTAGTACTTACGAATTACTTCAAACACATTACCTGATTTGATCGCTGGGAAAGCAGTGTCTTCTGATGTGTGCTGAGAATGAATTCAAAAGCTCTTTGATGAGTGTTCACAAGGGAGTCAACATAATCGAATGGGAATTATCTCTCTGTTGGGCAGTGCTGGTAGTGATATTATTAGATATTAATCTATAAAGTTCAGAGCATATGATGTTTTGCTTTATTTTTCAAATATGGGGAATGGGAAACTGGGCAATGGGAGATGAATGGATGTTGGAAATAGATTTTTTATGACTCTGGTTATACCTCTGGTATCTCTGCATTCTAATTTCCCATAGGAAACAGTGCCCAATCACAGGACTTAGATATAATCGATTACACACTGTACAAAGCAGAAATCTTTAATATAGCACCTCTGCTACACTTAATAGTGGTCTGGATTGCCTTCTGCGATGACTCTACAAGAACAGGGAGTAAATACTGAATAGTTTCTCTGGTGTGAATAAACTATAACATACATACATATAAGTACGTAAGATCCTAATTAGATAACTGACAATGAAAAATAGGGAGAAAAGGGCTAAAGGTGTAGGGGAAGTGGAAGGGCAGGGGAAGGGGAATAAGGGAGAAGAAAAAAATATGAGAAAATGAAAAGATGGAAATAAAGTGTTTGTAAATGGGGAGGGGACGAGGGGGTGAAGGGAGTGCAGGGGCAAGGGGAAAAATGAGAGTCAAGACCTGTCACGTAAAGGTACAAGATCCCGATGATGACTGTAACTGTGCTGTATCCCTAAAATGTACCAATAAACTCAATGAGGAAAAAAAATGGAGGGAAGGTTGAGAAGTTGCACCCAGTTCCAGACAAAGGCTACATCTACCAGCAGGTGGCGCTGTGACAAAAGTAATCAAGAGAAACCAGATTAGGCAGGCTGGGCTTCTGGCCCGAGACTGGGTCTTCCAGCTCTTCAGGAGTCATTACTTTGAGCAGTGGACAAAGGCAGGGAGGCTTGAAGGCAAGCACATGGCAGCACGTGGCTGATCCATCACAAACCAGTTTCTAGAATCTTCAACTAGGCTTTCTACTAGCTAGTTTGCGAGCCTCAGTAGAGCAGCCTAAGCTTCTGTTTTAACCTCTTCTCTCTCCCTGAAACCCTTTACCAGTAAATCCAGGAAGCAGGGAATATAGCAGGAAGGGAAGCCTTTCTTAGATCTCGTAGATACCATGGTTTCAGAGATCTTCACTTGTATTAGCCAAAAGGCTGAGAAGCAATCTGAGATTTTCAAATATTAAGCACCTTAATATTAAAAACCCACAGAGAGAGAGAGAGAGAGAGAGAGAGAGAGAGAAACCCAAGGGCACTGCACTGAGCTACATCCCCAGTCATTTTTCTTGAGATAGGATCATGGATTTAAAAACAGTTTTGCACATGGGTATGGTACACAAATAGCTCAACACAGAAGGGAAGTTATTATTAAGATGAAGCCAGCCCACGGGCCACCAATGGAGGGACAGAGAGTCCACTACAAGCCTACAAGCTAGGAAACATTAATCACCGCATCATTGTGAACTTACTGGGTACTCCCTCAGTCTTGGACGGAGATGGGTAGATATGGGAATTTGGTCTGTGAGACGGGGAAGCAAACGGTCTCTTCTACACACTGAACTCACAGCGCTGGGTGAGGACATGGGGTGGAGGGGAAAGCTCCCAGGCTGTAAACGTGCCTTCTGGGACAGCAAGGAACATGGGACTCCTTGGCATACATCTGTGCTGACATTATTTTTGCTAGCAGTGTAGAGTAAGCCAACCAATTCTTAATTTTCGCCCTTTTCATAAGCATACACTGACCCATTCAAGTGATGTGGGGGCTCTCAGAACTGAAAACAAACTTGGCTTCGTGGGAGTAGATGCTTTCCAGGGATGTCCTGTATGAGCCTCTACCAATTTCCATCAACATCTTCCTTACCTCACAATAATACAAAATGGGAAGGCGTGAGACCGCCTATTTACACTGCTAGCCAAAAAGTCAATCTCACTACCTCACTCACTGTCATTTGACTTGTTGGGTGTACTTCCTTAAAAAAATCCAAGCCAGTAATGTTTGATAATCCCAGCACCCCATCCATTTGCTCCATACCCAGGCTGGGGTGATCATCTGAGACACACCTGGTTGCTGAGACAAAAGCAGATGGATCCAATACTTGTAAATTTCATATTTATTATAACAAAAATTATGACATGTCCATTTGTGCATTCTGCTTTAACATAACTCCGGGTATGTAAATGGTCTAATGGAACGCTATACAGTCATGTTGATTGTGGCAGCAGTAAGGAACACAATTAAAAAGTGTCTGCAAAAGTCAAGAGGATGGGGTCAGGAGAGGAAAGAAACTGGTTCCGGGCCCCTCAGTGCAGGCTCTCATTCAGTGGCCTCAGAGTTGCCTCATCTGAACCGCACTGTGCTGGCTGCCTGGCCTCCACCCAGAAGGTGAGCTGGGGCTGGGGACGGGTAGGGAAGGCTCATCAGAAGGAAAAGAAAAGAAAAGTCAGTTACGTAGGCTGTGTCCTTATGCCAAGACTACAAAACATTTTAAGCATCACTATATAACACTGAGCTATTTACAATAGAAATTTCTCAATCAACTGTTCTCTCAGAGAAAATTAGTGAATCCCAGTGACTTAAGTCACCTGACAGAGTAAAGCAACTCCTAGGAGTTAGTCTCCATATTCTACAAATGTCTATCATTTTCAAGACAAAAAAGCCCCCCCAGAAATACAGAATTATAATATTAAATCACTTAGCAATGGCAACTTGCCCTGCCTTCCAAACAAAACAACAAAAACCCTTTTTAAAAAATATTACATTATCATTAACCATTTCTCTGTAATATATTAAACCTTTTGTTCTTTGTCTTTGTACATCTGATATGTTAGGGAATGAAGCTAACAAATTTAAATCATATTGGTAAAGCATCGCTAGAAGAAAAGTGGTAATTATTTTTAAACTAACCAACAGAAAGAGAAACTACAGATTAGCTGAAAAGATAGACTGGGGACAATGTGGGAGAAGGACATGGAGTAAAACCCCTGGTTTAATGTGAGCCTGGGAGACTCCTGCAACTCAGTCTTTCTGGGTTAGTTTATTTTTAAAACAGCACTCAGACTGGGTCACAGTGATGTGTCGTAATAGTCCGGCAGCTGGTCCATCTGAAACTGCCGCTGTAGTGGCTGCTGCTGTATCTGTGGTGGCTGCTGCTGCTGCTGCTCCTGGTGATGCTTCATGATCTCTTTGACTTCTTCTTCCAGCTCTGGGGGTATAATAAACTGATCATCAGGGTCTGGCTGAGCTGGGGCAGCAAAATAGCCCCCAGGCTTCCGAAGAGGGGCGTCTGCAGCAACCTCAATCACATTGTGGCTCCTTTCCTGGGGTGCAACAGAGCCATTAGGCCTGCGGCGCCCAATGGTTCCCACAGAAGAAAAGTCTGCCTTCCTGGGAAGACCTGGCTCATCCTCATTGGCGCTAATGACAATCCCTTCATCGCTGGCCTCAGCTGGCAGCTGTAGCAGGTGCTGCTGCTTCTCCTTCTCCTTGGCCCGAATACAGTGGATGTCCACCTCCACCTCCACTCGGCTGCCGTTGGTGAAGACACCCTCAATTGGTTCTTCATCATCACTGTCAAGGCCATTGTCTGAGAAGGCGCTGGAGAAAGTGGCGCTGGACAGCTGGCGCTGAAAGGAGTTGGACAGACAGACAGGGTGGAGCATGCAGCGTTGCTCACTCAGATAGGCAGAGCTGCTCTCATTCAGGGCTCCAGGCGGGGGCTCATCAGAGGCTGTCGACCCCACCTCACTGCTCATCTCCGAAGTAGAGAGCTCACTACTGATCTCAGACGCCATGCCGCTGCTAGAGGATGGCACACCCAGCCCATCAGAGGGCCGATCCTTGATTACCATGTTGACTGAGGGCGGGAAGATGCCTGGGCTGGGTGGTGGGACACTCCCGCCAGTGCTGAGCTCACAGCAACAGAAGCTGTCCTCAGTGACGCTGAGCTGTACGACCACAGCACTGATGCTGTCATGGCAGCCATAGCTCTGTGCCAGGGTGCACAGCTTCTTGGCAGCAGCCAGGGCATCGGGCACGTTGCGCACAGCCTCCACAGCCTCCTCGATGGACAAGCTGTCCCACAGCCCCTTACTGCCCAGGATGAAGAACTCATCCTGGGGGGTCAGGAGCACAGACTGCACATGGGGGCGAGGTACTACACTGGGGTGGAGGAAGGTGTAGCCCAGGATGCGTGTGGACTCAGTCACTCCATTCACCTTGCCATCCTGGAAGAAAAGGGGTTTCCAAAGACAGTGAGTACAGAAAACAATTGTGCGCTTTCTCAGGGTCCCCTGGCTGTAGGGCCACAGGGAAAGTGCTGTGTGGCCAACAAAGGGAAGAACTGTTTACCCCATAGGAAGTGGTTACTGTGCAGGCCCAGGTAAGAAAGTAGCGTCAGGGACAAAAAGATGTTTCAGCTATTTCCTTCATCAGAGTTATGTTTACCCTAGGTGACAAGATCTGTCATGTACCAGGAAGGCTGTCATAACCTCACATGCAAGCATAGTCACTAGCTCCTCAAAAGACAGAAGAGCCTTTGTGAGATAAGGTAGTCTCCTAAGAAATGTATCCATGGCAGGGACACTTTAACCTTATGTTCCTCTCTCCTGGGGCATTGAGCACAAGTGTCAAGGGTGTCTGAAGGCCCAGGAGAAGGGACAGACACTGAGTAGACTTAACTGGTGGAGACAATCTTGTGTCAGTAGCTGGGTCAGAATGCTTATGTTTGGAAAGGCAGATGCTACAGAAGTACCACTTCTTAAGATTTCCTTGAACCTGACTTTCTGTTGGTGCATGGGGATGGCAAAGTCTCTGGGATTTAATTCAGCTGGACTCATGCCATTTAAATCAGCAGCCAAAGTTCTAGATCATTTGCCAACAAAAAGACCTTTACATTTTTTTTTTAACTTCACGTATCTTTCAACTTTGAGGTTCTCAGGCCCATGTCCCAGTTTCCCAGGCTTCCTCATGGCCCTACTTTTAATACCTCTTTCCACTGCAAGATTCTATGAGGACGAATGCAGCTTTTGTGTGTGTCTAGGAGGAGTGAGTGTTTCTTCAGAGAATATTCCCTTCTTCCCCAACCCTACTACTGACTTGTTTTAGTTTGTCCTTGGGGTGCTTTCTCCCTAACTCCTCATAAAACCTTGCCATGCCACCAACACAAGCAGGTAGCATTCTTAGAAGTAAAACTAGTAAAACAGCTTCAAGCACAATTGCAAACCCCATTGATTCTAGTGAATTAATTTGCCCTCCAAGTGCAGAATTCTACAAAAATTCATCTATGCTGTTTTATCTACCCTTTAAATTTCTACCCATCGGAACGAAGAGTTTTGTGTATTAAGGAATACAAAAAGACAAAAAACCCCACACCCCAAACACTCACTCCTGAGCATCTTCAATGTAGACAAACATGGGAAAAAGAGTGGCACAGAAATAATAAACAAAGGCTAACCTACATTCATTCATTCAAGCAGCAGAAATCCTTAAACTTTGAATCATGTTTGGTATAATGTTGAGCAGTTAATCCCGTACATTTGACCTTGCTCCTTAACACAGTTTCGAACATTCATTTTAATTCTCTCTGCTCCAAGATTAGACATACAACTAAATTTACACAAACTCACTTCCACAGAATCCCACAGTGTACTTGAATCTTTCTGTGTCTTTCTATGGTCCTTAAAAATTCCTATGGAATTTTTCTTTTTCTCTACTGAGATACGAACTTTTACAGTATTAGTCTGCCTCAAACCTCACATGGTTCTATGAGTTTTATCAACAACAGAAGTCTAACACTTCTTTGTGGGCAAATGTGTATCTGTGGAGATCACTGCTGTACCCCCAAATCATCTTCTAGGCAAATAGTAGTGAACTATATGGTGAATTAGTAAAGGGAGTAGAAGAAATGCCAAAGAAGACCCATTTTGGAAGTTCCATTGGTAATGAACATATTTACTTCAGGATTTCTCAACAGGAGCACTGTTGCCATCCAGGGGACTGTCCCTTGGACAGATGCTTAGCAGTATCCCTAGCCTCTGCCCACTATGTGCCAACAGTACTCTCCATCCAGTAGTGATGACCAAATATGTCTCAAAGTCTCTTCCCCACCATGGTGAAAACTAGTCCCAGATGAGAACTACATTACTCAAATGGAGCAAAATTCAAATGGAACCTGAAGCGTGAACCAAAATGACAACTAGTTACATTTACACAGAGTTTGCAAGTCATCCTAGCCTTGTTAGACAGACTAGACACACTACTATTCCTCACTTTATAGATGACAAAACCAGGATGTGTAAAGTGGCAAGAGCCGAGATACAAAAACAAACCAGCAGTGTGATTTCAATACTCAACCACCCAACCATGCCTTTGTAGACTGCTATGAAGGTCAAATGAGATAATGTCCATGAAGCAATTCATAAATGTTGTTATTTCATAGGTTACCATATCTCTGGAAATATACAATTAATTTATCTTGAGACACTATAGATTTGAGATTCCAACTTTAAACCAGCTTCAGAAATGTCCTGTGAAGGGCTGGGGATTTAACTTAGCGGTTCCACTGCCTGCCTTGCAAGCGCAAGGGCCTTAGTTCGATCCCCAGTATGACAAAAAAACAAAACAAAACAAAACAAAAAAAAAACCCCAACCAACCAACCAAACAAATGTCCTGTGAAGGCAAATGTTGCCTAACTGGTGGCTGTCCATGACCTAGCTCCATGATGATGAACCTTTTGGAGCTTTCAATGATATAAACAGACTGCTACGGCATGCGTGCCATAGGGTCACCACCATGGACCCAGCTTCTCCTCCCCACCATCTTGAGGAAAACCCCTCTTCTTACCTCAGTGATAATGGCCTTGTGCTGCTTAATTCTCTTCAGCTCTTCTTCACAGCTCATGACGTATGATCTGGACAGAGGCAGTGGCTTCCCATTTCGACAGAGAACTGTTTGGCACTTGCCCACATTAGCAGAGGTCAAGGTAAAGGATCCTCCTGGGTCCACAGGGTCATGTTTGATGTGACAAAGGACAGCAGCACCTCCAAGTTTTTGTCCAGCAGTTCCAAGTTTTCTAGAATCCGAGAGAGGGAGTGAAAACGTGTTTTGTTAATTCAGTAAGACTACACCAATGGCTAGGGCCAGGAGTGAGACAGAACACAGGGTCTCTACTGATAGCCTTTCGACCAAAACATACAATCTTCTTCTCAGAGAACAGAGCCCCAAAACCCAACATCACACAATCCAGTAGAGAGGTATCTGCTGACAACTGCGGGAATGTGTCACTTTTCCATTCAAAGCATAATAGCTGGTCTGGAATGAAGGAGCCCCCTTCGACTGCTGTGTCCAACCTGCCACCTCAGATCAATCACATTGCCCTGGCTTCACACTCCAAGGGGAGCAAAAAATTACAACTTTTTCCATCTATTTTTCTAAATCCCCTCTGTTCCCAGCAGGGGAAAATTGAAGGAACCCCTTGAATCAGGGCAAGTATGAATATATGAAACCCATGCACAGGCCCTTCTGATAGATGCTCACCGTGTGGGTCTTATGTATTGGACAGCTCCTATTTTGCCCTATACTAAGACTTTTCTGGACCAGTACCATTTATTCTAGAAATCGTACAGAAAGGACACTGTAAGAATCAAGCACCAAGTGTGTATGACTCATCCTTTATTCATGTCTACCAATCCATAGGCTTATTGAATACATGAAGCACCTGAATATTCTGACAATCAGAGGGAGCAAAGAACTCTAGTCAAAAGCTCCACAAGTGGTAATTCCTCCAGGAACCCTGCTGTTTCTGAGTGATACTGAAATAAACAGGGTTAAGTAAAATAGCCCCCTAATTCAAGAGGGCAAACTCTCAGGTAATCAGAAGGACATCAGCTCCTCTCATGTACTTAAGTTAAGTGACTGGTAACAGAAGCAATGGAAACCATGTTTGCCTACCCACATGCATCAAAAGATCAGTTACAAAGACCATACAGTTCCCTTAAAGGACCAAAAAATCTACCATAGTCCTGTATTCTATTAACACATAGAGAAAATAAGAGGTACACAAAAGATGCTGGAAATGGGCCTGTAATTCAGGAATCTAAATTCTAACTTCCAGACACCTATAGCTAGATTTGTTTGGCTTTAAGCCCTTCCAAGGCAGCTCTATTTTCTTCCTGAAAGACACAAAAGTTTGTGAAAAGCAGAGCCAGTAATTTGAGTATGAAGGTATTGGATTTTAATTCTTACCCACTGGGGTGTTGTGAAGGTGTGTGTGTGCGTGTGTGCTATGATGTGCATACAAGTGTGTGTATGACATGTTTTTTTCCTAGGACAAGGTAGTGGTAAAAATAGAAAAGTTGCTGGGCCTGTATTAGAACATCCTCTGGAGCCTTACTGCACATAGACAAATCCTGAGTGTACCACTTATGGTTCTTCAGGGACTGGGCTTCATCTTTCTGCATTTCATCAATAAAAGAACAGTAATACCTATCTCACTAGGAAAAATTATGACATGTCTGGTATTTAGAAAAATGACTATATATATGAAGGACTGGCTTGCTAAGTACTGGCTCTTATCATTGTTCAACTGCTTACAGGAACCTGACAAACAGTGCTGAACTGGACAGCAAGGAACCATAGCAGACCTCCTTCACTGGGCTCCACAAGCGGAGCCATTTATGACTTAGAACGGCATTCCACAACAGACTGTCTACTCTGGTTAAAAGTTATTTCTTTTGGCAGATTATCCAGAAAGAGGAGAAGCATAGAAAGAGAAAAGATCATCACTTCTGCTCTGACCTTTAGAGCACTGTCATTCTGAGTCCCACAAGAGCAAAAGTCTACAGTGTGATATTTATACACAGGTAATTCCTTTACAACCCATAAAGCTCTTAAGGAAACAAAAGAATGAGCAATTCTTTGAATGAGGGAGTCTTTGTAAAATTTAGTCCTAAGAGTCCAAAGAATATCTCCCAATTTTTGCAGTGACCTAAAGTTCTGTTGAAGGTAGAAATGCCAGGCGATGGCCTAGAATTCTGCTACTAACATTGCCTTGAACACTGTATACAGGGGAAAAAACAACATACAAAGAGTATTTTAACTCCTGCCTAAAATCTGATTACCTACCTCAATTTCACAAAGGTTTATACTATCTTAAAACCAGTGATAGTGTTTCCTGAAGGTTAACAACCTGTGTTGGAAACAGTCCATTTCTAAAGAAATCCTCATACCACCAGATCTAAAGAGCTTGTGACACTCATGTGATGATTTAGGAAAGAATGGGTGAGGTAAACAATGAAAATCGGGAATTGGTACAGTCCTATGAGGTTCAGATGGCTGAGAAACTAAATTCCAGTCACACTTTGTTCCTACAAAAGTATCTGAACATTAGTATGTCTCAAACCAGAGGGCAAGCCATGCTAGACAAAATTGCAAATGTGTCTTGAGCACCCATAGTCAAAAATAGTGCGTTGACATGATTAGGCAACTAATTTTCTAACCAGAGGGAAAACACTTAAAGAAGAGCAAGAAAACACACAGCAGGGACATAAAGTTTTACCTTTGCATAACAATGAACGTATTGACCATGTATTCTTCTTCATTTTTAGTTTTCTGCAGCTCTTCAGCCAAAATGTCACTCATGGTACACTGCAGAAGGTAAGGCACCTCCACATTCCGGTCTCCATCAAATACACCATACAGGGCCTCTCGGTTGTCACAGAAGTTATTCACAGACAGAGCTGCAACACACAACCTGAAAAGGAACAACATTTTGTGCCAAGTCTATTCATCTGCCCCTCTCAACTCTACCCACCCTCAAGATTTTCTATTTCAGTATTTTCCTTCATGATGCTCATCAAAGAATAGGTAAACTGATTCTGTTTAATTTTATTAGTCAATTTCTATATGCAAAGAATGACTAACAAGTATTATGCTTCACACATAACTCCCCTACCCTTCCCATTTTATCTTTATAGCAGAAAAAGGGGTAATGAGAAATAATGTTAGATTATAAATTATTATCTGTATGTTCATCTAATAAAAAATTATTAAGGAGAACTTCTATATCTGAGTGTCAACTGAAACACTGGAAAAATATAGGAAATACATGCAAAGTATATAAAAATACATGAAAGCCTTAATGTTTTAAAAGGTGGAAGAAGCCTCCTCCCCATAAAACAGTATTCAGACCCTTAACAGTGTGTGGTATCTGCCCTGCTTACTTCTGGAAAAATTCCTAAGCTGTCGCACCAGGAAGAGGACCCTATGTAGAGTCTGTGGCCTCCTTTAGTTGAAGGAGGACCAGGAGGTTAGAGTTCCTGAACACAGTCTCACCACTAAAGCTCAGAATTAAACTGTTTCCAAGTAAACTGTGTCCCAGAAATTATCCAAAATGAAACAGAGAGAAAAAAGAACTGGAGAGATGGAACAAGGGGTATTAGTGAGTAATGGGACAGTATCAAGCAGCCTAAATCACAGGGAATTTGAGTTTTGAAAAAGAAGAGAATGAACAGTTAAGAAAAACTTAAGGCTGAAATTTCAAATTTGATGAAAACTACAAACCTAAACTGCCAGCAAGAGAGGGAAAAATATTTAACTGAGGCACAACAAAATCAAATTACTAAAATCCAGGAAAAAGGAGGATGGGACAGGGGTGCAAGGCCATAACATACAGAAGACCGTGGAGCAAAATTTTCAAGTACTGATGGGAAAATAAATCTAAACAAATGTACTAGAATTTTGACAGCCTAGATTTCTAAACCAGTAAAAATAGCTTGTAAAAGTTAAGGTGAAAAGGCTGGCCATGGTGGGAGCACGAGGCTTAAGCTCAAGCCGAGCCTGGGCAACTTAGCATGACCCTATCTCAAGATGAAAAAAGAAAGGATGGAGGATATAGCTCAGTGAGAAGGCCCTGAGTTAAATTCCCAGTACCTCAGCAAAACACTTTGCAGAAATGAATATAAAAAAGGGAAAATTTTACTGAAAAGAGACTTTTTTTATATATAAATTATTAAAAAGAAAACAAATATTTAGCACCTGTTATGTGTCATGGCTAGATACTTAGACAACTTGAAAATAAAATCCTTGCCTTTAAGGAATTAAGGCATAAATAATAGTAACCATTACTATTAATAATAGTAGCTAAAAGTTAAACGGGTTTTACTATATGGCACACTATTCTGTGTAACTCATGTTATAATAACCCAATAGGATTATTCCTCATCTTATAGATGAAGAAATTAAGCTGAAGAGAAACCAATTAAATGACCACAGTCACACAGCAAGTATTCTCAGCGAAGAGGTCTTGTTTTCAGGTTGATATTTTGGAATTCCTTCCTTTATTTATCAAGAAAAGCAATTCAGGCTGATGGTTTAGCTCAGTGGTTCTGCTGTCTGCCTTGCAAATGCAA